ATCCTAGTGATGATGCAAAGTTAGATCACTCGAGTGGCACTAGATGACCGATATGCAAACAAGTTTACCCCTCTTGATAGTACGGCCATCTATCCTAAACCCGGTCATCAACTTCTCTACACACCTATGACCGGTGAAATGAAATGCCCTAGGTTATACCTTTGCCTTGTGCATTCCATTCCATCTCCTCCAATGTTGATGCAACACATGCACCAACATGATCAACAATGATATGATCCACTTCATATCATCACATGATCATATTGGTTCATCGATCTTGACTTCACTTGCTTTTCACCGTTGCCTTCGTCCATCGGCGCCAAGTCTTGCTTAAGCTTCACCGCCACGTGGTCCATCGCTCCAAAGCCTCCAACTTGCCCTTCACGCTTGCAATCGGTCCATCAAGCCAAGTCATGTCTTGATCTTCTCCACCTTGATCACATGACCCAATGTCATGTCTCATTTGCAATGAGCTCCTTCATCACCACATGTGTGAGCTTTGCAACATCTTCAAGCCATTTTCACTTTCATGGCATATGTTGCTCACACATATGTACATGTGGACTAATCACCTGTGTATCTCACATAAACACAATTAGTCCACCTAGGTTGTCACTCAATTACCAAAATCACACAAGAACCTTTCAGTCGTACGTTGTGATCGGATGTGGCCTAGCACTCAATGACACAGGGTTTATACTGGTTCAAGCAACATGCCCTACGTCCAGTTTGAGTCGGTCGATGACTTTATTCCTGAGCCCAGGTGCTCAAAGTTTGTTGTGGGGTTACAAACAAGAGGGGGTAAGATGGGGGGTATCAAAGGTCCGATCGGACTCTAGACCGAAGGGCCGAGAGTGATGGGAGCTCCTACGTGCGCTAAGTATTGGAACGTATGCTCTGTGTAGCTTTAAAGTGTCTAAAGCTAGCAGAGAGTGAGTCAGAATGATCCGTATGTTGTCTGTTGTTCGTCAAGATCGATCCCCCTTTTGGGAGAGGGTGCATCCCCTTTTATAGATGAAGGGGATGGCCTTACAAGTGAGAGAGAGAGGGAGAGAGTGTGTGTTTTCTAGTCTTGTTACCCACGCCTGTCGGGTACAAGATGGTCGTCGGTGCCTACAATACTATTTATGTCAGACGCATGTGGCAGGCATTGCCGTGTTTACCTAGTGTGGTGAAGGACGGCGCCCACAACACTGTAGGGCAAAGGACGGCCCCCGCAACACTGTTTGGGTTTTGACATGCTTGGAAGGTTTGCGAAGCACCCTTCTAGCATGGCCTGACAATATTGTCCTGCAGGCGTGCAGGGTACGGTCCTCGATATTGCAGTTGACTTGAGCGCCTTGCCTTATCTGCTCCGCCTGACTCTTTGGGTACTTATCAAGCGGGCGTCCCCATTCGGTTGTTCCCCAGTCGGCTCCGACCATGCCGATCAAAGAGCTGTAAGCAGAGGTTCGGTGTACTTTCGGTCAGAGAGGTGGGTTAGAGTCGAAAGCGAGCGTCGTTCCTCCTTGGCCAGGCCTTCCGGTCGAAGAGGCGGGTCAGAGTCGAAAGCGAGCGTTGTTCCTCCTTGGCCAGGCCTTCCGGTCGGAGACTGGATCGCCCTTCCGGCCTGCTGTTAGGTATCTGGGCCGTTCTAGGAGTTGCGCGTTGTTCGCAACGTCGTCTACTGGGCCGAGCTCTTGTTGGGAAGCAGGTCCATTAGGGACCCCAGGTCTATGAACCCGACAATCGGCCTTTTAAAACTACCAGCAAGAATATCGCTAATAGGTGTAGCAATTGAAATAATATGGCTAGATTTGGAATTTGGTAAAGTACTTGTACCTTGTGCATTGTTGATCAGGCTTGAGAAGTGCATATCCTTGATTTGAATGGTGTTGTTCTTCATCTCTAGAAACCAATCGACAAGAGGGGTCAAATCACTCGGAACCACCTCAGCAACTACTGAAACGGAGGAAGTCGGCTTAACCGATTGGAAGTTGGCTGGGCCAACTTGGGCACTAGCAGGCAAAGCAGCAGGGTAGTCGGCCTAGCCGACTCAGGGCAGGCAGTAATCGGCTCAACCGATTTTGAGCAGGCAGGCAGCCCTTCTTTGTTGCTTGTAGGGGCTTGATCTCCATCAATGATTAAGTAATCTCTAGATAAATGTACAACCCCTTTAGCTCCGAAAAAATCAAGTCTAGATATTTTATTGCGCTTCTTATGCTTTTCTATAGCAAGAGTTGTTTCTTGAGATGTGATTGATTCAAAAAGGATATTGTGTTGTTCGGCTTTTGTAGCCGAACCCTTGCTTACATCTGGATCAATTCTCACTTTACTCACTGTACTAATGGGCAAAGCTTATTTTTTCATACTCATGGCCGATGACTTAGGTGTGATCGACCTCTTGCTAGTACTCCCAAAAAATTTATTTTTAAAATCTTCGTTTTGCTTCTCAAGACTTATTTCAAACTCTAACATTGCCCTTTTGAAATCAATGTCTGATTGAGAATATCTTGCTGAATTCTTATTGATTTGACTTGAATTACTAGCAACATATGGAGCTGAATCATAAGTATGAATATTTACCCACCTTTCATTGATTCGGCTCGAGTTAAGAGCAACATATGAAGCCGAATCGTGAGTATTACCATTAGCATACCTTGCTAAATTTTCATTAGTTCGGCTCGAGTTGGGAGTAACATATGAAGCCAAATTATGAATAGGAGCATTGGCGTATGGTGCTGAATTTTGAGAGTAATTAGCTAAATAATTAGCGTTGTCATAGCTAATTCTCTCATTCATCGGCATGTCTTATGGTGGAACCACATATTGTGAATTTATAGCCGATGAATAAAGATTTACATGTTGTATGTCGCTAGTAGCATTAAAACTCAAAGGCCCTGTTCGCTTGTCTTATAATCCGTACTTTTCAGCTTATTTTTTCAGCCAGAACAGTGTTTTTCTCTCACGATAAATCAGCCGGAACAGTATTTCGTCTTATTTTTTCAGCGAAGCGAACGAGGCCAAAGAATTCGCAGTTGACATCGGCTGTTGACCATAATATTCATAAGTATGATGTGTATAATGAGGAGCATTATCAAAAGTATTGGCCGATGTAACATATCTAGTACCATTATAACTAGCAACACCAACATGAGAGTTCATTGAACTTACAAAATACTTATTAGAATCATAAGATGCATTTGCAAGGTATACCTCGGGGTAATTGTAGTTGCTTTGTGGTGTCACACCTTGGTACTCCATGATTTAGAACTTGACCGTCTTGTTGAATTTTCCAAAAGCAAGTGCAACACGTTGCAAAGTTGCAAACAAGATCACAAAGGGGTCAAAACCAGATGCGATTGGCCTTTTGGGGCAGATGCAACGGTAATGACGAGCTCAAGAAGATAGATCAATGAGGACTAAGGCTAGGTCAGAGAGATTGGCTATAAGAGATAGCCGAACCAATCTTCCCCAGCGGAGTCGGCAAAAAGTGTGTTGACGCTTAATTAGGTCAAACACATGATAAGGAGCTAGATCGCTCGATGTAGGGACTAGCCGATTTTGGGATTGGCCGGCGCCTAGGGGATGTCCACACCTGGACCTTGTGCCTTCAGCGATGAGCGCGATACGCAAGACACGTTGCCGGAGAAGCCTTGACGGGAGCGCGATACGCAAGACACGCCGGCGAGGTCTCTTGAGCCCCGAAACCCCACACGCCCGGGAGGGACCCCGTCAGGGCGTGCGGCGGCTATGGGCTGCTCTAGCTGGCATGGCCGTGCTAGAGCTTCGCCGTCGTCGATCCACCGTCCATGCAGCGCCGACGAAGAACGAAATTAAAGTTGCAAGAGATGCCTCTCCCAACCAATCATATCCATACATATATATAGGGTCGATGCAAAAGACTAAAATACCCGTAGCACCTAATAGATACATACTCCACGGGGCAAATCCGTCTAGATTGTTCTTTGTCCATTGGAGCAGATCCGACCACTTCGCAACTTCACTTATCTCGATGCAAGCTTCGTGATGGCTGACGTCCTTTGACTCAACACCCCTGACTTTGAGGCCAAAACTGAGAAACCCTTTGTGTCCATGGTTTTGAAGCCGAAACAGCACACGATGTCGATGCTTGTATACTTCATCCTCTGTCTAGCAATCTCCATGTCCTTCACGATCCACACTTAACTCTGGTCTTGATCCTACCTTGACTTCAGTCAGTGTTGTTTTCATCCTTATGCACGACCTGTTGTTGTTGCTCTTGTGCTTGGTGTCGATCATCCGTGGTTCTCTAGGCCTTAGTCCCTCCGTCCAAGCCCTCTTGGTCGTCCTTCACCTCCTGGGGTATAACATCACAAACCTCACTTGACCCTCACCACCATCGCCATCAAATCTCTCCAATGCCTGCACATACACAAAAGAGACACATTGCACCGCCACCACTTCACCTTCGGTTAGTTGTAAGCAAGACCAATTCAAACTGCAAGGACTTATTATCCATAACAGCCACTCATCATATATATTGACAAGAACCCGGCCATCTCAACCTTGTTATCTCTTCGTCCCTAATCCCTGCGGATGAGCTGGCCGGACAGTGGCAAGGCGGTAGGGTGGGGGTGGCGAGGGCGGAGGGCCGCGCACAGTCAGACAGACGACGGGCATGTTGCTCTACCCGCCCAATGATCTCTTTTGTTTAACCTGCTGCACTGCTCACCTCACTGGCAAACTGAGACGGTCTGCATGCATGTTGATCAGTTCATGTGCTCTGATGCATACACCAATATTTTTGTTGGTTGGCGCAGATCTCGAAGCGTGGTATTGACTTCACTCCTCTGATTCCCTGGCTACTGCTCTGCAATGTGTGGAGTACTAGGCACGCACATGCCCATCCACCTCTTGCTTCGCGTGCGCTAATTATATATACGCACCCGAGCCAGCTCGCTGTTTCATATGCTTGACTGCAGGTGCGGCCGCGCAGCCTGCCTGTTGATCGATCGATCGGTCCATCAAGGGGTACCGAGATGAGGAATCGGCCGTCGCTTCCGGCTCTCATTGCTCTCGCCATTCTTGTAGACAGCTACTGCTGGGTGGCGACCTCGGCCGCCTCGCCGGCGGTGGAAGATGAGCTGCGCGGTGGAGCCGGCGGTCGGACGATGCGGCGGCGCGCGGCGTCGGTGATGGTGCCCATCACCATCCTCAAGTCCGCAGTCAGCGACGGAGCTGGTATGTATGCTGCTGCATGTTGCTCTTCTGATCTTGGGGATTGAGAGATAGAGGTCTGGATTGAGATCATATTCATATCTGCCATTTCGGTTGTTATAGTGCGGTGCGTGCCACGCCGGATGCGATTGCGACCCACATTTTGTGTGTGTGTGTGTGGGGGGGGGGGCAGGGGGGCGGCGCGGGGATCAATGCGCGCTCTAGCTAGTCTCCATTTGTGACAAGCTATAGCTTTTGCTAGTTATTACTAGTAGTTACAGTCCAGATTTAAGCTGTTTCTTGTACTAACTGTAATCGTCTGAAGACTGCTTCTTTAGTTGGTAGTTTAAACTATAAGTTTCAGACGTTCAGTATTGCTGCTACTGGTGTTCTTTTGTCAATTTCCTATGTATCTGGTGAACAATGGCTCAGGAATTAACAAAGGAAATACAGTATATACCAGTAGATTAATGGGACCGATAAACTATGCATTATATGTAAAGCTAATGCTGGAAATGTCAGATGGTATTGTCAGGTTTGCCCAAATTAACAAAGAGCATTTTAATTTTTAAGAACTAAAGATGTAACGCAGTGTGCATGGATGGAACGCCACCTGCTTACAACTTGGATCCTGGCTCCGGGGCGGGAAGCAAAAGCTGGATTGTGAACTTAGAGGTCAGTTAATATATACTACCATTTGAAATTTTAAAGCACATACGTAAGATTAAACTATATATGGTTCATGTTGTTGTTGTTGTTGAAAGATCCGGTTACCTGGCTGTGTATTAATAAGGAGTTTACAGAGTTGCAACCTTACATGCACGAGCGCGAACTCGCTCAACAGACTGCTGCGCGAGTTTAGAAGACTTAGAAGCTAATTACTCTCACTACATTATTTGCAATCATTAAGGACCTGAGACACTTCCCTCCAGCCATCAGCCATAAGGAGCATTCATCTCTAATCCCAGCAGCCACTGCTCTGACTGTCCTGCGTTCGGCTGAAAACCACAGCATTTCTTTGCTTCCAGATTTGCCATAGAGTTAGGATGGCTAGAGAGTGTGCAGGTTTTGTACCATTTTGGGGTATGATTCATGTTGTTCTTATATATTAGTATTCATTAGTACTAATGTAAGAACTCCCCACTTTTTATCTTCGCACTTAATCGCTTAAACTTCTATATATGATTCATGTTGTTCTTATTTTTATTTACATTTTCAAAGCTGTACTACTTTTTTATACATATGCCGGGCATGGACGCATGCAGGGAGGTGCATGGTGCAACAGCGCCAAGACATGCCAGCTTACCAAGAGCTCCGGGCGTGGCTCGTCGGACCACATGGATAAAGAGATCCCATTCACCGGCATCATGAGCAGCAGCAGCGCCGTCAATCCTGGTCTGCCTGTCCATCCACAGTTCCAACACCTCATCTTAGATTAATTAGCTTATCCGTCCATGTTCATTACTCATCATCTCCGATGCTGATATATATGTGCAGATTTCTACAATTGGAACCGAGTAAAGATTCGCTACTGCGACGGTGGATCTTTTGCCGGCGAGGCCTATGATAAGGTGCATACATACACATACCCAAAGAATATTACTACTCAGTAGAAGCATAGCTTTGTGAAAACGACTCTTAAAAGTGTAGTTTGTGATATGTACTTTTCAATCAGTGTAGTAGTTTGCAGACATTTTATTTTGCCATATTCTAACTATGACTTAACTAGTCGTATACGTTTTGCTTGAGTTAACTTGTAGGACACTGGGATTTATTTCCGAGGGCAGCGCATCTGGAACGCGGTCATCCGGCACCTCCTCTCCATTGGGATGGCCTCTGCTGATCAGGTACTGCTCACCGGCTGCTCCTCGGGGGGTCTGGCGGTGATCCTGCACTGCGACCAGTTACGCGCCTTCTTCCCGTCCGGCACCGCCGTCGTCAAGTGCATCTCCGACGGCGGCCTCTACCTCGACGCGTACGTACCTGTGCTGTGCTTTAAACCTCCCTTTCCTTCCATGCTCTGCATCACACACAAGAGGCAACTGAACTGACAGCAGGTTTTTGCCATGACTGCCGCATGCAGCGTGGATGTCTCCGGGGGCCGCAGCCTGAGATCCTACTTCGGCGACATCGTGGCCATGCAAGGAATAGCTCAGAACCTGCCGCCGGCTTGCACCGCCCGTCTCGACGCCACCTCGGTGCGTGCTCTCGCTCCTCTCCTATTTCACACTCGTGCTATGTCCCCCTGCACGTAAATAAAGCGAGCAAATAAAGACAAGCGCCCTGTTTGCTTGGGCTTATAAGCCGTACTTTTTCAATGACGAACAGCTTTTTTCTCTCACACGAAATCAGCCAACGGTACTTTTAGCCATAGCTTATCAGTCAAACAAGCCCAAACGAACGGGGCAAAGGTTGATGGAAAACGGCCACGTACACGTTGCCAATTGACTCGCTATACGAATTTGATCCATCTCATATACACGAACTTCAGAGAAATGAAGTGATGACTGCTCTGAAATCTCAATCTCATGTGGGTGCAGTGCTTCTTCCCACAAAACATAATCGACGGCATTAAGACGCCACTGTTCCTGCTAAATGCCGCATACGACTTCATTCAGGTGAACATTAGTTTCGCTGTATGGAGCAGACACCCTAATTAAATAGCAAATGTATTACCGATGACATATACTGTACTTACCTGCATTGGTCCGTCAGATTGTGCTCAGCCTGGCGCCAGACAGAGCTGACCCAAGCGGCGCTTGGCGAGCCTGCAAGTCCAACCGCACGGCCTGCAGTGCATCCCAGATGAGTTTCCTGCAAGGTTAATCTGGGTATCCATATATAAGTTACTCTTCATCAGGAAATGATCTGAATGACTAGAGTGTTGTGACACATACCCGCACAAGTGCAGATTTCAGGGACCAGATGGTAGCATCCGTCAAAGGCTTCTCCAGTTCCAGGGGCAACGGGCTCTTCATAAGCTCCTGCTTCGCGCACTGCCAGTCCGAGCAGCTGGGCACCTGGAACACCAAACCAGGTGGCTCCCCAACCATTCAAAACAAGGTAACAGTTGACAATACACCAGATACTGGCTAGATACAAAAGAAACTCTCTTTCCGAGATGAAATTGTTGGATACTCATGTATTTTGATGTTCATGCACAGGGGATTGCGAAATCCGTTGGTGACTGGTACTTCGATAGAGCTGAAGTGAAGGCGATCGACTGCCGCTATCCCTGTGACAACACTTGCCACCATATCATATGAGAAGATCCACATTTTTATTTTGCATAGTGAAGAACATATACGCTTTCTCAGCAAAGTGTACATCATATTGATTTGGGAATGCAATTGAATACAGCCATTAAAGGAACACTAACACAAGAAATAAATGGTAGTGGCATGTTTCAGTAGATCATGGAGTGATTCTACAGCTGTTGTTTAGCATGTGATCCATTCAATGGAATAGCTATCTAGTATCATTCTAGTCAGTTGGCACTACCAGCAAATATTTTCTACTACTACTACATTCAGAATTCTGCATACCTGCTCATGCTAATCCTGCAAACCTGAAGAATGGGGCTTTCAGTAATCAAGTGTCGATAAGAATGAATTACATTATTATACAAAACTGTGGGTTGAGGAGCAAAAACTCTTTCATTGTGCATGTCCTATTTCTGTACAACTAGTAAAATTGATGCTATCCATTCTATGAACAATAATATGCTGAGGCACAGGATCTGCTGATAACATCAATAGCTCAAGAAAAAAAAAATTACACTGGAAAGCTGTTTCCCAGTATGAAGCTACCAAAATCAGCTGACTCACATCATGAAGTACATTTCCCATACGTATCGACCATCTTTGTACATGTGGAGACTGCAGCCACTGCAACTAAAAGCACCAGTAACATTTCTCACAGGAAGATCATGATGCAGCTTGGGCAGCACCAAGTTTGTTAGCTCCTTTGTCCAGTTTCTTTTTTGACACCTTCTTTTGGGATGCTTCCTCTTCTTGGTTCTTCACCACTGGTTTGAACTGTTGAAAAAGAAAGGGTAATTTTAGAAGATTCAGAATATATCTGAACTAAAGGATGTTGATGAGTCAGAACTGATGATATCAGTGCTAAGTAATACCAAAAATATGCATTTGAAAACTAAGATATGTCGGTTGCTTGTGTGAAGAAGCATGTGACCACTCAGGAGTCAGGATCATGATGCTTCACCAGTTCGCAGTGCAAGATAGTCGGATAGCTAAAACCTCAAATTATTTATTATGTAGGTCTAGTTTATCATACCAAGTCTTTGCATCATGCATGAACTACACAAAAGGGAACTGTCTGATGACTAAACATAAAACCTATCTTTCAAGGAAGTCAACTCCAAACTCAGTGGTTCAAATGATACTTAAAACGAAAATGTAGCATGAAAGAAGACTTTTTAGGACAGGTGGATGGACTTACCTGATATACAGAATAAATAACATTTCTCCTGATTTGAGCCATCATGTCTAAGAAAAGATTATATCCCTCAAGTTTATACTCAATAAGGGGATCTCGTTGGGCATAACCCCTTAAACCAACAGCTTGTTGGACAAACTTTAGTGCCTGCAGGTGTTCTTTCCACAGCCTATCAATATTGCTGAGAATTAGAAACCGCTCAGCTTCCTTCATCAATCCCGGAGCTTGCTTCTCCACAATTTCCTGACATACAAGTATAGAAGTTATGAAATGAGGAACTACATCTCACTATTTCTGGTGCTCCTGATATTTGGTTAATAGTTTATCAAAACTGTTGTACTGTTCGAGTCTGAAATACCATTGTGAAGAAAATAGCTTCTCATATTTTACCTGATTAGTTTCATGGTTTAAAACGGGGAAATGCATTTGGACATCCAAACACATGAATGGGTTGCTATTAATTTTAAGGAAAAAAGTATGAATTATTATATTCAGACTTGTCTTGCTGATAAGATGCACTTGTTATAAACAAGAATATACATTTCAGAATCAGACGACCTTTTTTCGTCATAGGCTCATAGCTCCTGCCAAGATGATCTACTGCTAAGATCTAGCTTTGCCTTCAGCTCAGATTTGGTTTTACCCCTACTAAGAACCACAGATAAATTGATAGGTGTAGTTCAAGTGTGAAATACCTACTCAGACTCTCTTTGTTTGTAAGAAATATTTGCATTAAACTTCTTATAATATTTTAACCATGTGAAAAAACGCTATCCATAAAAGCAAAAGGAGAAAAAACTAACAGTTTTTTGGAAGTAAGCTTCACGCCCTCGCTTACGGAGGTATTCCCGCAAATCCTCACAGCTTGAGCTTTTGCCCTCCAACAATTCTGGTGTCAAGTCATCCAACAGATAGCAATACCTAGTAGAAAAGAAACAGAAACATTACAATTTTGGTGACAGTACATCAGTCAACAGATCCCAATTGACCAAATACACATGTATATGTACTAACTGAAAACTTACTGTTGCAGCTTAGCTATAAGTTTGCTCAGGTCCCAATTTTCCTTTGGAGTATCAGGGCCTATGTTAGCCTGCCAACGACAGAAGAATATTATAGCATCAGGACTTCAGAGAAATATAATGCTTTGTGTTCAGTTTTAATATTTAAGCGCAGCTGTCAGATGGTCACCATAACCAACCTCTAATATGTCGTCCATTGTCAATTCAGCGTATTCCACAATAAGTGACTCAAGACTGTCAGATGCAAGAGCACGTCTTCTTTCTGCATATACACGATCTCTCTGGCTATTCAATACCTCATCATACTCAAACAACTGCTTCCTGATGTCAAAAAAGTAGTTCTCAACTTTTCGTTGTGCTTCATCTAGAGCCCTTGTTAGCATTTTCGATTCGATAGGAAGATCTTCAACTCGGAATGCTTGCATCAGACCCTAGACAAGAAACCAAATGCTATTAGTTACAGATTTATTCTTGTCTGTCAAGAAATGCTGAAATCATATGGATAAGTCAGGCAAGGATATATCTGAGAGCAGCAGCTATTAGTACAAGTGATGCAGTAATTGCCAGACACAGTCCTGCAGGTATGCTTACACAAGTGTATTACAATAATTATAACAGGTAATTTGCTAAAAAAAATAGAACTCAACCACAGGGAGAAGACATCCCTAGCTTTGTCTTAAGAGAGGGGAGTACCCAACCCTTTAGGGATGTACCCAAACAACCTGCAAGCACCAACCAAACTACCACTTGGTTCTCAACATTTTTGCTACAAAACATTTCTAGTTTATAGCTACTTAACTAGTAGAAGGATATAGTTCAACGCACTTGGACCCACTACTAGTAATGATGAGAGCATCACATTCTGTCCTTCAAAAAAAAGTTGGTAGTGAATGGATTTGAGCACATTCTATTTCACTATTACGAACAAAGTATCTGCCATTATTTCAAAATATGACATGCAACTTGAGAACGACATCCAACTTTGTCAGAGGCATTTAGTAAGGTGCAATCAATAAGTCATATCATAAAAATGATGGAGATACCAAAAGGGGATGTTTTTTTATGCAATACATTATTTTTATGTAGTGAAGCCACTGGTATTATTTCTCATGTAAACAGTTATAGAACTAGAGAAAATAATACAAACCTGTATCCTGTCACCACCAAAGATCCGGAAAATATTATCCTCGAGACTAAGAAAGAAGCGAGAGCTTCCAGGATCCCCTTGCCTTCCACTTCGACCACGGAGCTAAACCAGAAAGAGAAACCAATTCAATTATAACCATCCTCTGTCATGATCAAAGTAAAAAAGATATGTGCTAACTACTTCACTGTTGGCTTTGCAGAATGCAGACACTCCAAACATGTATCATGGACTTTGGCATGAAACAACATTTTTCTAAGGCTAGACTTGTTAAATTTAGTTTGGGACAAACTAGCAATTCACCCATGCAACAAGCAGAAAAGATATCTCGGGTTCACCCCTGCATATTATATTAACAGCAATATCTTCAATAGTATATTACCTGATTGTCAATTCTGCGCGATTCATGGCGCTCTGTCCCTACTACGTGAAGCCCACCTGCTGTAATGACCTGAATAAAATTGATCATGTGAACACCACGCTACACAGAATAGCAACAGATAGAGCTATCAATGTTTCTTTTATATGCAATATAACCTTCTTCTTTTCCTCCTCAGTGTAAACTTTATATTCATCTGCTATCTTCATAAATGCATTTCTCAAATTTGCTATTACTTCATCACGTGTTGGTCCCTGAAATATAAAGAAACGTAATTAAATACTCAAGACACGAAAACTTTTATTCAGACTGCAATGTGGAACACCACTACACCAGTAGTCCCTGAAGTTGCATAGCTGTCTCACCCACACGAAAACTAATATTTGACCTTTCATGGTTGCTAAAATAGGCCTACCTTCTCACATGAGTAGGACAACCGCTCTTCTGCTTCCAGTTCAGTTAATGATTTCTCTCCCCATTCTTTGACAGCCATTTCAACTGTATCTTTGACGGATGATAACGTTTCTTTTGAGAGTTCACATGGGAACAAGCTTTCGTTCATCTGAAGGCAAAATAAGTGCAGTAAGTCATTAGATAAACTTATATCACAAGTTAAATCATAATACATCTACCCGATGCAAGTCCCAGAATCTCGAGACCATCAGTTGTTGATCATATCACTACTAAACCTATAGCCAGTTATGTACCTTCCATGTCTTTCTTGGTGGCATCTGCTTTTTGGATACAATAACGCCATCTATTGGATTGACGACTCTGCAGCATTCAGAATAAAAAGAGCCTATAAGAACAGCTGAACAACATTTACGCTACATATACACTAGGGGGAAAATGTCTCTTTCGGAATCCTAGGCATCCCATAGAAGTTTGTTGCAAAGACAAGGTAGTTCCATTGCAACTTATTATTTATTCAAGATAATGAAGATTCTGTAGTAGCGTTGAATGCTTGATTAAAAGAGAAACAACCCCCTCCTCTTAAAAAACACTCTCTAAGATCAAGGATGTAGATCACAACTCAATCTTTATCAACAAAAGTAAAAACTAACTTATTTAGAAATAGGCATAAACTAACATTTTAGGATTGTTGATACAGCACTGTGGATACAGTACCGAACTGCTGTTCATGTCAATCGACTCTAATTTAACTTCTCCTAATTCATTGCAAATACCAGGCACATGAAGAACCAGCTAATGAAAAGTCGCAGTGGTAGAATCAGTCATTTCGATCCTGCCAATGAGCGTCCCAGGTTCAACATTCATTGCCATGAGCATTCGAGCCTCCCAAGCTTTGACGGTCCTGCCGGTGAGCATTCGAGGCCCATGCTTGAGCATCTCACCAGGGGTTGTCCACAAAAAAAATTTATATATTGCCTCTCATGTGTGAAGAACAAGGGGAATGTGACATCCCATTCGCCTGAGGAGCCTTGTAGCTCTGTCATTATCACTAGGTACACAATCCTAACTGTGTGTACTGTGTAGTGTGTAGGTCTGAGTATGTGCATGGACATGGAGCGGGAGAGGGGGGGAGGGGGTGCATGTGAGGTTGAAGTTAGAACCTGTTCAGATACAACTGCACCCCATAGAGAGGCGTCAAAAGAACCAGTTCATGAATCAAACATGCATTTTTTTCCCCCAAAACTACAACCATGTATTCAAAGCACTGTAAAATATTATTTGGAATTCTGATAAGGAAAATTAGTACCTTGGCATAAGGATCTCACGCAACTTCAACCTGGCCATGAATTCTGCATTGCCACCAAGGATAATATCAGTTCCACGCCCCGCCATATTGGTGGCAATTGTCACAGCACCAAGGCGTCCACTCTGAGCTACAATCTCTGCCTCCCTCTCAACATTCTCTGGCTTAGCATTCAGGACCTTCAATAGAAATTACAAGAAAATTTAGACAGTTTTAGCACCTTAGGAAATGAGAAACTGATGTTGCAACTTTCAAACATGTTAGTAGGTCACAGCTAGATTCCCGTCAAATAGATAATTTTCCATTATTTTCATTGGTTCCTTTCTGTGAAAGAATGAAACTAATTTATTCAAAAACATAAAATAAATTACATAGTTACAAGTGCAGAACAGAGTAGCGCGCTGAATGGTAATAAACTATCTGTGGAGTCAAGAAAGAAATTTGTTCAGGAGACAAATGTTACTGAGTTAATTCTGTTGTGTTGCCTTATGTACATAAAAATATTAAATTAAAGTTAATCATTTCACACAAGAACAGGATTTTGTTCAAGTATCAACATTTTTTCTCTGTGAACACTAAGCACAAATAACAGCATTCCTGAGTGGAAAAAAGGAGGATCTACTATTGTTAATGAAAAACTAACAGGAATACCTCGTGAGGAATCCCAGCTTCACGCAATTGCTCTGATAAAGATTCACTTTGCTCAACACTGGTGGTACCAACAAGCACAGGACGGCCAACTTTATTCATTCTTGATATCTCCACAAGAACAGCACGCCATTTTCCATTTGTTGCTCTAAAAACAACGTCTGACTCATCCTGCAAAGAAAGAAGCAAAATCAAAGTTTTGGCAGAAAATGGGATGAAATAGAAGGACAGATCTTTCACAGTTACAACAGAGTGCAAGTACCTTCCGTATCATTGGCTTGTTTGTTGGAACAACAGTAACTTTAAGTTTATATATGCTCTCAAACTCTTGGGTCTCTGTAGCTGCAGTTCCAGTCATGCCACAGAGTTTGGGAAACTGTCACAAAATTCTGTTAATTTCTTGACAAAGTAATAGATTTGAACATAAAACAAAGATAAGATTAGGAGGAAGCTGTTCATCCAGCACACTGAGCCATTTATTTATTTATTAATCTCTACCACCATCAACCAAAATGCTCAACAAGGATTACTGGCCATTAGCATTAAAAAGCACCAGAAATGGTTTCGTTGGTGGATTAGTCTGTTTTCCAGTAATTTTTAAGCATCAGAAGCTCCAGACAGAACAGTTTGGCACTTGCCTGAAGAAAGAAGTTTTGGTAACTTATTGATGCGAGTGTTATGGTTTCATTTTGTATAGATACACCTTCTTTTGCTTCAATTGCTTGATGGAGACCATCACTCCATCGCCTGCCCTGCCAAAAGCATCAAAATCTCAAATGTGAAAACTAGAATAATGAGATTCCTACTCAAACATCTGTCTTCATGCTACAAAAAATGATGTGGACAAAAAAGCCATCCAGGGCATACAACGGGATAGCATTTAAAAATTCATCATGTGCCTCTCCCCCTCCTACTTTCATTCCTTCTTATGTTCATATACCGTGTATGAATGTTAACATTTATGAACTGCAAGTTTGCTAATACACATGCCTCTGCACAAACTTGGTATGTGTGAACCTTGGTCAGAATGCACTTGCATTAGTTCAAGTATACAAGTCAAGGTTTGACATAAAAACCAACCAGAAAACTATTACCTTACATGTATCACTGAGCATAGTGTCATCCATTTACTATAAGGCAAAGGTATGTACTAACTGTTTAAGGATTTTAGATCCTATGGACAGTAACATGTCTTGTGCTACTGAGAATAATGATAAAATATACTCACCGGCATAACTCTGCCAGTAAACTCATCTACAATAAGCACTTCCTTGCTACGAACAATGTAATTGACATCTTTAAGGAAGAGCTCCTTAGCCTTGATTGCATTTAGAACATACGAAGCCCACTGTTCACGAGGATCATATAGATCATTTATGTCCAGTATTTCTTCAGCATCAGCGTAACCTTCTTCTGTAAGTAAAACATTTCTTTGCTTTTCATCCACCTGAAGAAATATAGTCATTTTTAGATGGCAATTTATATTAAGTTAATTGAAGAAACAAATAAACAAAATTATGGCTAGGTGATAGACACATATTAGTACTACTATATGTTTTATAATTCTAGAAAATGGTAATAGAATATTTGAGATGTAATTTTTTATCTCAAAACAGAAGGGCGAATACAAGTTTCAGAAATCAGGAGGCTAGAATACATTGAGCGTGAGGGCATACTTTATTGTATAATCAACCCATAATAGCAGATCAAATATCCATACAGAAGCTTATTGCTCACCGTGTAATGAATGTCTCGCCCAAAAGCGTCAGCTATTTTTGCTGCTTTGTAATACCGGTCGCTTGGCTTTTCAGCTAGGCCTGATATTATAAGAGGTGTTCTTGCTTCATCAATAAGGATTGAATCAACTTCATCTATCACACAGTAATTGAAGTTCCTCAAAACAAGTTCGTCTACAGTCTGCAATAATGAAGACTCAGTCAATTGCAGGAGATGCAATGATCCATGAGGATAATAACACTTGGATATTACTCCCTCAGTTCCAAATTATAAGACGTTCTGGCTTTTCTAGATTCGTAACTTTTACTATGTATCTAGACATAATGTATATAGAAAAGGCAGAACGACTTACAATTTGGAACGGAGGGAGTAACTAATAACAAAGTCTTTCCAACATAAGAAATGCATACCATTGCAAGGTTATCTCTTAGATAATCAAAACCAAGCTCACTGTTTGTGACATAAGTAATATCGCATGAGTAATTTTCCCTCCTTTGCTCGGGTGTCATGTTCTCTGTCAAAATAAAAAATCTGTTTAACAAGCTATCACTAGCAACTAAGAAACAGAACCTATAAATAATGCCTGCACAAAGAAAAAATAATCAAAATGCTAGTTGGGCTAGGACTGTAGGACACATGAAGCTGCGGCGTGATAAGGCATGGAAGCATATGCTATAACTCAGAATGGTAATGGCCAGCTAAACATTCATAGTAGGAGCTGTCAGTTTATTCATGGTTCAGTAGTTCAGCAAGCCATCATCTTAGGCATATGTAACATTATTTTCAGATACATATCAGTATTTTCATGAATCATTCAAGTGCAAGTGCTAGAGCTTAAATTGATAAATAAGGGGCCAATTAATATTTTCAATATTAATGTGGAAACTGGAGAATATGCGCAACTGGAGACGGCACAGCCAACAGGAATGAATAATGTGATGTGATGACATACGTTGAATTAAGCCAACCTGCAGTCCTAGAAATCGGGGAACTTGACCAACCCACTCACAATCACGTCTTGCAAGATAATCATTTACAGTGACAACATGCACTCCTTTCCCACTCAAAGCATTTAAGTATGCTGGCAGAATGGCCACAAGAGTCTTCCCCTCTCCAGTCTTCATTTCTGCAATCTCCCCCTTGTGCAGAACCATGCCACCAATCAACTGCACATCAAAGGGACGGAGGCCTAGAACTCTCTTGGAAGCCTCCCTCACAATAGCAAATGCTTCCTGCAAAATGATGACAAAGATTCCACCTTGAGAAGTTGAGATGTCATTCTACAGGAGTCATGATTAACATATTTAGATCATCTTAAAGTGGCTAATGAAAAGGAACAATGAGTTGGTCTATTTATTTATCTCATGGTATACCATAGATTCTTTTATAATTTTGATGAAGGATTTCAATTCTTGCTTCGTTCACTAATTGTACATACACTCCGGACAGTGAATTGATTCTTCTCAGATGAAGCTCCAAAATTATACATGTTAAGCATTATCTAAATGCAAAACGGAATTTTTACATCCTTGTTCCTATTATCTCCAATCTGATCCGAGAATAAATTGAAGGTGAACTTGTTTTCATCCTAATATACTCTAGTCACTCAGATAATCAAATTAAAATGTTTCTTTTAGTTAATAGAAGGCTATGGTTTTCCTAGTTCTTCCTCGAAACACTATTCGCATGATCACAGACTGTAACATCTTAGTGTAGTCACTAGTAAAGTCCATTTTAGATTCGACGTTCGACACATTGTACTGAAAGCATACGAGTGCCCGTTATATTTGGGTACGTACGGGGAGAAGGGAATCCAGGGATTCCCCGGAGCGAGCACGGTCCTGGAGCGCGGCGGTGCGTGCGCGCAAGTCGGCGTCTGAGAGCGCGGAGACCTCGGGCTCCATGGAGTTGATGCGCACCACGGTGTCGGCGTACTTCTTCCGCGTGGCCTCCCCGTCGTCGCGGCCGCCCCCGCCGAATACGCTGCCCAGCAGGCCCCCCACGCGCGCCACGTGGGAGCCACCTTCTCGCCGCCCCTGCATACCCGGGCCGCGCCGGCTGGGGCGGAACCGAGCCCGGCAGCCGCCGCAGCCCCCAGCGAGAGGCCACGAGGAGAGGCCCGTGGCGGACAAAGTGTGGGGAAAGCGCAGCGCAGGGGTAGCAGCGGCTGCGGTGGCCGCCGAGGCGTGAGGCGCCATGGCCATGGGCATGAGCGTGCGCTTGATGGCTTCCTCCGGCGCCTCGTGTGGTGGTGGTGCCGGCGCGCACGGCGACAAGCCGCCGCGTGCTTCTGGGTGGTGGGCAACGGCTGTGGCGTGGCTGTGGAGTGTGGATGGAAGTGAAGGAGACGATGGATAAAGGAACTGGGTGGGCCGTCGACGGAGCCCAAAAAAAAAATCTACCAGCGTACTATGGGCTCGTTCCAAAAAGTGGATGAATGGACCAAGCAAAACTGCCCCCTGTTTCAAAAAGGCAAACACAATGGATTTTTTTTAAGCCTCTTGTCTGGGTACCGCTGTTATAATAAATAGAATGGAATTGGTAGCATATCTCCTACAACTAAAAAGAAAAAAAAAGTAAGACCACTGTTTCGTGCGACAATCGTCGTCGCTCCGTTGGTCCGCCCCTCCCTTGCGATACCGCGCACAGTAAAAATGGAAGGTCATCCCAATCTCCACCCGGCACTCCGTGATCCTCCCCAGATTGGCCCTCCCCGCGCCCCCTCCCCCCAATCTCCACCCGACGCCTCCTCCCTCGAACGCTCGCCTCCTCGCCAAGGTCGCCCCCACGCTCGCTTTTTCCCCGTTCGGCCATGGCAGCGGGCGACGGAGCAGTCCTCCGATCGGAGCGGACGCCGTGGCAGCGGAGGTGACGTAGCGTCCCGGCGGCGGCGATGGCGGCTGTGCCAGAGGCGACGTAGCGTCCCGGTGGCGAAGGTGGCGCGGCATCCTGGTGGCTTTAGGCGGCGCAGCATCCCGGTGCACAAGCGACGCGACGTCCCGGTGGTGGAGGCCGCGTGGCATCCCGACGGCGCAGGCGCCACGATGTCCAGCGGCGCAGACGGTCCGTGTGCTCATCCTCCCATCCAGGTTGGAAAGCTTCACGATTAGATGTTTGCTCCCCTATATGCTTTGTTTGATCTGATTAGATGTTTTACACGATTTTGATGTCTATTCGGATTGCAACGAGATTGCATTGGTACAACGGAGCATCACGTTGCCATTGAATTCTAAGTCCTCCTCAGGTTTGACAAATGCCTTCAACAGATCCGTTTTGCCCTTTTCTTTCCAATACCTGTATATCGAATGGGATTCTCCTTGAATTCAGTGATCACAAATTAAGCCTGCAGCTTGTGATCAACATATACCACGATAAGAAGCTTGTGATCATAGCCCTTGGTTTTGTTTATTTGATGAACTAGCAACCGTCAGTCTTATAAACTGAAACTAATTTTTTTTCTTCCTTAGTTATTTTTCCTATTCTTTGAATCTTGCTAGCAAAATTAGCCAACACTTCTCTTGTCCTAAGGTTATATGATGTAAATTTAATTTTCCATTGTGGGATGTATAATCTGGCCTATGTTGGCGAAGAAACATTTGTTTCCACGTTCATGCAGCGCACATTTGGTCTGGCAATGTATGGTTATTGGTGTCACTTGCCATCAGTGTTCTGATCCTAATTTTGTCTCTAATTCAAAGATGGAAGTGCGCATTTCGGAATCCATACAGTATTCCGATATCTATCGTCTATTTTGTAACTTTGTTTTTTTATTCTGAAAGGTTAAGAACGAGGCTTGAGTCTACATATTTGTACTAAGTCCAGTACTGGTCACTGCAGTTGAAGGTTACTTTGATGTATATATTAACTACTGCCATTGAGCCCAGGTTTCTCTATTTTTACTACTACCATTGAAGTCAAATCAGGTTGTAACGTGTATATTGACTTTTGTTCCTTTGTTTGAGATGGAGTACCTTCTGTGTACACGTTGCCAATTTGTTTGAGATGGAGTACATGTTTATACATTCTCCTGTTGGTAAAGAACAAGGTAGAAAAAATGTACTCCTTTTCACTTTTAGACTACATATATTTCCTATGATTGATGATGGATTAGCAATTGGTGAACTGCTACAGTACTCATTGCGGGGATTGAGAAGGTTGTTGAAAGAGATCTTACTGAACTTATTCTTATGGTCATATGGAATTGACTTGATGGTGCATGACGTGAATGAAATATCTGGACAAGCATAGGCTAAGAGAAGTTGAATCAACAATCAAGGTTTGTGGTATAATTTTCTTTAAGGCTATTGAGTGAGGTTTTTCTTTTTGGAAATTGGGAGAGTGGAGATAAACTTTTGGATGTAGATTTCCATTTATGAGTATTGATTATCTGCTTTACTGGCAGCGAATATATGGATGCAATGTTATCTCACATTGTAGGCAAAGGGCAAAGCTTGTTTCTTTTTGGGTGTTTCAGTGCTTTTCTATTCTTCTGATAATCTGAACATCTGCTCCTCCTAGAAACCATCTTCTGTGAGCTCTCTGATTTTCCCCAAATTAATTTAGTTCATAATATAGGTTTTGCACAATGAGAGATCCTGCTGCACAGATATGTATGTATTTTGTAAGCCTATTTTATGTGTTAGTTTTCCCATTGCTCTGAGCTATCCCATTGGAACAGAACGGTGTTAGTCTCTCATTACATTTGTTCAACTGAATAGACAAGAACAACAACCCATCTTGCAAACAGATGAAAGTGAATCACCAAGCAAGAAGTTACAATAAAGAATACTGGAAACCATATTCCTCACATGGGAAGCAAAATTAGAAAGAAGCAATTGTTTTCAGCACATGGTGAAACCCGCTGCCCGCACATGCTGAGAGTGAGATGATACAAGGAACAACTACAGATCACCAGGTACATCCTGTGATCCATCGACGGGTAAATATGTTGGCGGCGGGAACCAATTCGACGACCGCCACCACACCCTAGCCAGGCCACAGTTGGCCCTGTTCGACACCCCCGGCCGGCCAGTAGCTAGCCCCGTCTAGCTACAGCTAGCCAGCGGTCGGCCAAAACCATAAACCCAGGGCCAGGCAGCCACGGCCGGCTAAACCACATCCGGGCCTAGCCAGGCCACAGCCGGCACTGGCCGACACCGCCGGGCGGCCAGCAATGTATAAGTCTTGGGTAGATGTTTTCCTGTATATGATATAGCTTTCTGTTCTGCTCAGTTAACTCTTATGGTCTATGAAAATGATAACTTCAGGTAGTTTTGGATGTGGGTTGCGGCACTGGTGTTCTTGTAGATGCGAATTGCTTTCACCGTGTCAACTTTTTTAAATGATCAAAGTTATCCTGGTAGCTATTTTAACGCACTGAATTTATAATTCATACTCACAAATTGAATTTTCAATATACACAGTCCAGTTCAGCCGCACTAAAACACAGTGCAATAGCCAAACTGTACATGGCATTTATATATCATAATATCACAAACTTGTATGTAGTTCCGGATAGTAAACTTAGAGTTTTGCAGGGAACCTGAATCAGCATAGTTGTAGAACCCTATAGGTTGATGTTATATGCTTTCTGACAACTATTTGACTGTCATCATCAAGTTGTTTCACTATAGGATTCCGACTTAAAAAACAATCTAGTTCTCAATCCATATATAGTTCCATTGTACAGTCCATTGATCTACTTTCCTAATAGTGCTCGATTACATCTCCCATTTGATTGAATATTGCCTGTCATGTGATAGAGGAATTACGGTAAAATAGAAAGTAGAAAATTATTGTGCTATCCATATACACATTGCATGTTTGCATGCACCAGCATACATGGCAACGAGCCTCTCCCGGCTCCCATGCGCCTTGCTCCAAGGAAAGAGAATTAACACAGAAGTAAAGATAATTAAGACAAAAGGAAAGAGAGAGACTGCTATCAATCATCTGCTATAAATCATGTGGCCTCGCCATAGCGCCCACCCTCACCAGCTGAGCTCGCCCTTGCTCGCACCGGCCTCTGCCCTCGCGCCCTCCCTCGCGCACCGGATGTGCTTCGCCATAGCGCGTCGTCATCGCCTTCGCCGTCTTGCTGTGCCCTTGAGGAGGACTACGGACTACCACGAGGAGCTTCCAACATCTTTTGTCTTCCACAAACGTTCACCCTGTTAGTGAATCCCATCCTGCCCTGATGCATTTCTTTATTTGTTATTGCCTCCAATGCTTGTGTGATATGAAATCATGCCTCTTTAAGAGTCTTGGATAGATACGTGTAGAGGCTATGTGATGCGTGTTGTCATGGTAGTGGTTTGGGAATGGTTGGTCCAGTAATTCGTCATGAACCCTCTATGTTTCTGCTTCAAGTTCTTAGACTATGAACCTCTATCTGTGCCTGAAATCGAATCGTTACTGCAGCCATTTGCGATGAGTTTGTGCTTTTGCTTACTTTGATTTGATGTTTATTGCCTGTGTTTCATCTTTCCATTGAGCTGTCGTGATCCTTATAGATTCAAATGGCTGAGTATTCCTGTTATGACTGTTGAATTGAATAATGATTAGCACTGGCTCGATCGCTCCATGATCTGGTTCTGCAAGTCTACCATAGCAACAGTTCCTTTGCTTAACTTTCTTTTACCATTGAGTAAAAGTTTCAGCAAACAATCACTTTTACAGTAACCATCAGTTGCATCACTGGTGAAAGCTCTAGTTTGGTTTTGGTGAATTGATGAAACCCTAAGTGCTAACCTAGTTTATCAAGTGATCATGAGATAGGTAGCACATTCCAAGTAGTGAAGCAAATGAAGATCATGACATAGTGATGGTGATGCCATGGTGATGATCAAGTGCTTGGACTTGAAAAGAAGAAAGAGAAAAACAAAAGGCTCAAGGCAAATGTATAAATGGTAGGAGCTATTTTGTTTTGGTGATCAAGACACTTAGAGAGTGTGATCACATTTAGGATTGATAGTCGTACTATTAAGAGCGGTGAAACTTGGATCGAAATGTGGTTATCAAAGTGCCACTAGATGCTCTGACTCATTGTATATGCATTTAGGATCTAGTGGAGTGCTAACACCCTTGAAAATATTTGTGAAAATATGCTAACACATATGCACAAGGTGATACACTTGGTGGTTGGCATATTTGAGCAAGGGTAGGAAACTTCACCGGCACCCTAGACAGAAAAGATGGA